GCATTAGCCGCACAATTTCTCACAGCTAAATTTTTATTGGAAAAGCTACGTCAGTTGGTCAGAAGTATTTGCGGGCGTGGCATAAACATTAATTTTTCATAATTCTCGAAAAAAAATTACGTTTTAAAATAATGACAAATCAGTTCGCAGATAAACCCGCGACAGTAGAAAAAAATGGAAAAAAGAGTAAAAAATGTAAATATATATATATTTTAGGTTTTTTTTTCTTTTGGGCAGCCGCCAGCACACTTTTCCTGAGCTTAACTAATCGTAACAGATTTTTTTCACAGTCATGATGGGAGCGATAAAAAATGAGCAAGAAAAGGGACACCCTTGGGCGGAGACGTCTGCCTGGCCATATCCTGCGGCCTGCCAATTAGAACCCTTTGTGTGCCTGGATCTCCTCCACAAGACGGCGCCCAGTCTCTATCTCGACGCACTTATCTCCATAATAAAGTCGTAACAATTAATTGCGCGACCTTTTCAATGGCTGCGACTTAACCCAATCTGAGGCTCCTTCTTAAAGATACCCCTCAGACAGCAGGCCAGCCGTTTTATTTTGAGCACCTTTCGCGTGGTTTGACGCATAATTAGTGCTTAAAATTTATTTGACGAGCCTGCAATTAATTTAATGTAATTTTCCATTTTCAAGTTGGGCCTCTGAGTGAGCTTGATGCGAGCTTAGATAATGTTTCTAAATGATTCTAAATTTCTAGCATATGTCACATGTAAATTAAATGAATTTGACCCTCTCTCTCTCTCTCTCTTCATTATGCATTTAATAAAATAAATTCTTTTAAATTTAAACACAATTTTCTGTGAACAAATGTGTTTGAATTTCAGATTGATTTACATATATGTATATTACCAAATACAGATGTAATTACATCTGGTGAATTGAGTTGCTCTTTGAGAGCGACTCCATTGGCTCTTTTGTTCATATTTAACTGCGGTTTGTTTTGAATGAATTCAACTGTAAAGGTTAAAATTATAAATGTGCAAATGACTCATCATAAATAAAATTAATAAAAGGCACGCAGTCAAAAGCCGAAAGTCAAAAGAACCTGGACAGGGGCATTGAGACAGCGAAGCCTTCATTGAGAAAAAGTACAACGCATCAACATAAATATTATGATAAATGGTTTGTTATAATCATAATCCGCAGGGGGTAAGTTTCGAGTCGTGCGATACGCATTTTTTATGCAGCGACGCCCCCGAACCCGAGCCAGAGACAGCCAGAGCGAGCACGACAGGGCACTGGAACTGGAGCTGGCAAGGATATTGAAGCCGGAGCTGAATGAACTGGCGCAACATATGGTCGGTGGGTGGATTATACAGATGGCGCACGAATGGATTTGGATTGCGATTCGATAGCCGCGTCCAACAGGGGCGAACAACAACAACAAGTCAAGCCGAGTGGCGTCGAGTGGTGCTGTTCTTTTTTTATTGGTTTTGCTAACTGATGGTCGCACTGGGATTAAAAGCAGAGCACGCTTTTGCATACACAGCCGCGCAGCCATGGAGCTTGAAGATTGAGATACTTGCTCGTATCTCACAGATACTTTGTGAACTGAGCATCTTGCTGGGCCATAAACGCTTCGTATCTCAACTTCGCCTACAGTGCATTAAATGAGGAAGCTTTACGCCTAATAAACACTTTATTCAAGTCGAAATTTTATTGTTTCAATTATGTGAGTGAATAAGCGCCCGAGGCAGCAGTAGCAGCAGCAGCAAATTGACAAAACAATTTGTATTCGAGTACGCACACATGAGCAACACACATACACACAGACATAGACAGAGCAGCCCATCGGGGTATGTACTTCAAGCCCAAAACACCCATTTAGCACACACCCAGCCACACATACACTCGCACTCACACTCACACTCATACACTCTTCTCGCGAACACATTAAAATTCAGGATGTGAAGCAAACGATTTGCGGTGAGCGCAACAAGCGGGTTAAAGCCTGAAGGAAGAGAAGAAGAGAGGAATAGAGAGAGAGAGACGACTGAAATATATCTATGTATATATCGTACTTGTATATATTTGTAGGTAATTTATTTGAATTATTTGATTCATTTTAAATGTTCGTATAACGTTAAATTGAACAACTCCCAAGTAGCATTACATTATGAAAGTAGAAGAAAGAAGAAATAGATCGGAAGCTCTAGTGTTGTAAAACTCGTGTAAGGAACAAGGTCTGACAGCGAGAGACTTCGACCAAGTGTAGCCAGAGAAAGCAGAGAAATATTATCAGAGAGGTAATGAGAAGAGGAAAGAATAGAGAAAAGTTGTTCGAGTTAAATAAAAGTTGGAGTCTGGAATGCTTACTTAATATACATCTGGATGACCCCATTATGTCGGGAATATTCTTGTATTAAGATATATATTTTCATATACATTTTCATTTAACCCTTTTCAAAGGAACATATTGAACTTTTAGATCAAAAACTATATATGAGAGATTCTTCAAAATACAGGTTTGTGTTTTCGTTCAATAATAGCTATTTAACAGTTGATAAACTAATTTAAGTGCCCAGTTAATAGCTCTACATACTTAGCAAAAGGTAAGCTTAGCCCTCCGCCTGAGTTTCACTTGTAATGATCCTCGGACTCTGTGGGATACTGCCAACACTTCTAAGCGGATACAGCCTGACATGGAATTAATTTGACAACATTAACAAATTAAACTGTTAAACCAACGCACACACACACACATTCACAAGCATTTGTCGAGTCAACTGAAAGCCGTAACAACGTGCTCAGTTTTCTCTCCTTCTGTCCATTTGTCCGACTTGCCGCCCGCTTGGCAAACGGACAGACATTTACAACATCATTTGTAATCCATATCGCTCAGCATGTAGTCCCACAGTCCCAGTCGAATGCCGCCCTACATGAATCTGTATGTGCTTGTGTGTGTGTGTGTGTGTGGGAGCTAAGATGTATTGACCCTTCAACAGATTCTGTGCGAGTGGTGTCGGCGCTTGGAATGCTTCACGCTATTTATTGGCTCACTTTCACTCGGACGTGGCACAGTCGAGGAACTCAGTTGGGCTTAGCTTCCTCTAGTTGGCAATGCTCAGGATTTGCTACAGAACCCGCCCTCACGCTCGCTGGGGAATCGGAGATGTCGCTGGCCACGTGTTTGGATTTCAGGTTACACTTGAAGCGTCTCTCCGATTAGTGGTTGCCATTTGTCAACATGCTGGTGTGGTTGATATTAATTGGCATTGTATTAGTCGAAGTCTATGTTGGCCACACACAAACTCACACATATACACTGTTACACACACACACCCAGTAGATATTTATTACACCTAAGCAACCTTGTAGTAAGTGCGCTTTAAGAGCATATCATTTGTTTTTATGAAGTTGTTTCAATGTTGCTGCCATCTTAAGCTGATTTTGCTTCATTACAATATTTAATCGCAGCTTTAGCTAGTTAATGGCTAATAATTGTTTGTATAATGTATATTTGCCATTTTAGAAAATTTGCAAAAAAAAAATGTTTTCAGCTTGAAATTTGGAATCTAATTAAAACAAGCTTTTCAAACTAAAACCAGTTAATTATATAGGATGGGAAATTATAATGAAATGTTGGACATAATTAAAGAATTTTTAGATCTGTGTTATTTTTGCAAGTTGTTAGAAGAATGTATAGAAATATATTTTTTATATACATAGACATATATAAATATATATGATCCATTCATTTCTTTCCATAGTCCATATCTTATTCAACTCTTTCAAATTTGATTCGCTGCAATTGCCTTAGGTATCGCACATAAGCGCTCGACTTGTGTCCAGTTGTGATTAATTGAAAGTTGGGGCAAGTGAATGGCATTGGCATGGAGTAAATGTTGATAATGCCCGAAATGTGGCAACAAATGCAAAATGCGCTACAAATTTCCCGGGGATATACTTTTACGTATGCGCAGCAGCAACAACAGTTGTAACTGCAACTTGCAACTGTTGCAACTGTTGTGCGCTGTCTGCTCGTTCCCATTCTCATTCCCCTTCCCATACCCATACCCATGCCCATACTTATATACATTGGCCAGCTTTCGGCTGTTTTCCTGCCCCCTTTATCGAGACAGGGGACAGGAAAAATATTTTGACAAATGAACCTAAATAACAGGTTGCAATCGCTCAGAGAGGAGAGGGAGTAGTTGCAGCAGAGGCAGCAGCAGAGGATAGGGAGACTGAGCATATGCGTGGCCCTGGACCGACCCTGTTCTCTGGATAGAGTGGACCTGTACCTGTGCCTGTGCCTGTGTCTGGACAGGAAAACGTATGGCCAGACAACCTTGATACCTCATTTATTTTAAAACGTTGCGGCCAGAGTCGCAGGCTGGCCGCAGTTTCTGCTGCACAAATGAAATCGACACATCGGGGTAAAAAAAGAAGAAGAGAAAAAAAAAAACAGAAAACTAAAAGAGAAATAAAAGAAGAACTAAACGCGCCCAGCTCGAAGACGTTGAGCTGTATTCATCAGTCGCACTGACGAATCGACGTCGGGCCACTCTCGAAAATTGTTACAAATGATCGCAAATAACAGATCTTTGCCGGTCTTTGGGCCTGGTTCAGGGCGCGTTGCCCATCAAAGGAGCCGAACCCAGAAACAGAAACGAAGACGAAGTCGCATTGCGTGTGCCCGGCTGATCGAGTGAGCTACAAATGAGATTGGCCAGCTGGGATTGGGATTGGGTTGGGATTGGAGTGATTGGGACATGGAATCTTTATACAGGGGAACTGGACTTGGGGACGGGAGGAAGCTGTGGCAGCGGCGCCGTTCGATGCTAGGCTAAATTGCACTGATTTCTTGATTAATGAGAGCTTTGCATTTTCCAGTTAAGCCCGCTGCTGATTGCGGCTTTTCATCTCGCCGTTGCAAGTACACCAGTTGCAAGTGGCAAGTGGCAAATGGAGAGTTGATTGCAGCTACTGCTACCCTAAGTGAAGACTTGATTGTAGCTATTGATGGCTTGGCACTCACCCTGGTTGTTGTTGTTGCTGCTCTTGCGCGATGTCTTCTTCTCCTTCATCCAGGGATACTCGGGCACCGAGTCCATCCCATCCGGTGTCTGTGGCACACCGCCGACATTAACCGGATATCCGCCACCGACACCGCCTCCAACACCGACACCAACACCAACACCAACGCCAACAGGTGTGCCAATTTTCGGGCTCTCCGGACTCAGGTGATTGAGAAACTCGGCCATCGAGGGCTGAGAGTTGATGAAGCCCCCCTCGGTGGCCATCCAGTAGGCGGTGTCGGCGGCTCGTTTATCACAGTTCGGTGCCATTTTGTTGACAAGCATCACCGCTGGCGGCGGTCCCTGCGGTCCTTGGCCGCCTGCTCCGGGCACAATTGGCACTGACACCGTCGTCTGGCCCGTTTGCACCTGTAGGGGATTCAGGGGCGACTCGGATTTGATCTGAGCGCCCATCGGGTTGGTGTCCAATGTGCTGCACACCTCTTGCATTGTAAACTAGATTTTCTTATGGATTTTTGTTGTCTATTTATTTTTATTTTATTTTATTTATTTATTTTTTTTTTTTCAATTTATGTTCTTTTATTTATGCATCTGAAAAGAAAAATTTCAAATATAGTTTCAATAAAGTAATTATATTATTATTGTAACAAATCACTTATGAAATTGATCAAATATTCACATTTCTCCAATTTTCGTTATAGATTATTAAAGATAGTTTATTAATGAATTATTGTAGCATTAGTAGTGGTAGTAGTAGGAGATAATTAAAGATAATCAATATAATCAATTACTACAGTATATAAAAATTCCAATTTTTTTTAAATAATAAATTCAATTTAATAATAAACTCCATGAAAATTCCACAAATTGGCTATTTTATTTTTAATAAACGGTATTAAATAATAGCAAATAAAAAATGTTATCAAAGAAGAAAGAATGTTATAAAAAATATTTTGTGTAATTGATTATTAGACGCTATTAATAAAATTGTTTTCTAAATTCTTATGAAAAATTATATTGATAATTTATTGTTCACTTTTCATTTCCAGTTTTGTTTATAGTTAGCCTAAACAAAATAACCGACGGAAAAACAAATATAAATTTAAATTCTACGGAAAAGCTACAAGCCATTCTGCCAAAGGCGATGCGGCATGAAATGAAATAAAATTTAAAATTTACTTTGGTTTGCATGCTAAGCTATCATTATTTATAAAAATATAGGCTTAGTGGAAATGTATGTACAGTAGACAAAAATCACCACAATAAATATTGAAATTTTAAGTGATATAAAAAATAAGAGCTGAATAATTCCATTAATAAAAGGAAGAGAATATTTTTGCAGCGTTCTGCAAGGCTTGAAGCAAAAAAAAAAAAAAAAAAAGAAGAAAATAAAATAAAATTATTATTACATGCATTATTATTATTACATTACAAGTAAAAATTAAATTAATAATACAAATTAAATCTTAAAAAAAAAAGGAAAATAAAGTTATTATTGTTAATCATAGAGCTACCACGCACCATTTCTAAAGACCGCTGTGACAGTTCCGTGTGCAGCGTTAGTTTTCATAAGTTTCCATTTTGTGCGCGATGTTTTCGTGTTTTTCTCACATTTTTTTTTAGCACTTTGACACAATGCGGGTTTTTGACATATTTCTGCGTGTAGAGCAGCACATTTAAACTATGCGAATCGAGTACTATCTCATTGAGTACTGTATATATTATTATGTGTGTTTTCGAGAGATATTTACGAACAGGGTCAGATAAGACCGCCAAGCAGGCACAAAGTTGTCAGCGAGAAGCGCGACGCGTTGCTCCGACTATTTCGATAGCGTTGGTGATGGCGATGGCGATGGCGGACGCTGGTGCTTAGCCAAGCGAGACTGTGGCAGTTGTTCCATCATGTCGAGTTGCCAGCTACAGCTACAGTTTTACACACCTTGGCACCCATGGCGACGCGAGTGCCAAAACAACAATGGGAACAGTGCACAGCACGACGGACGCACGATAATGCAATAGTTAGCTACGCGGCACAACGGTGCGTATGCGTAACGACAATTTCAGCTAAAGTTTTGCTTGTGAGCTGAGCTAAGGGCCTGGCAAAGCGACAAAAAACACACCGAAGCTGATCTTGCAATGGCCAGCGTACATACACACACGCACACATGCGCGCACACTCACACACACACACACATATATACAGTTGCACTGCAATTTGTAGTTACAAGTTACACTTTTCTACACATTCGCGCCAACTATGTGCTGCCTGTATAGCTGTCTCTCTCTGGCCTGCGGCGTAGGCTCTGGTCTCGCGTATCGGTGCGCAGAACCGGTTTCAGTTGTTTTTGTTGCGGCCGCGATGGCTGGCTTTTGCCGTTAATATTTGTTATTTATTTCAACTAAATAATATACACTATTTTATTGCACAATTCGCACAGGCAGTTTTTGGGTTTTAGCTAAATGTTTCGCCAATATATCAGTTATTCACGTCAAGACTATTCAGACTCAGAATCGCAACTCTCCCTCCGGTTTGGGCAATACGACGCTGCTTCGTGCGGCACGACACTTAGCCAACCATTTCATCCAATAGCACCGAACGCACTGAAACTTGTCCGCACTTGTCGCAAGGAGTGGCCAAGAATGAGCATATTGGACGACTGTGTATTCAAAGATGAGCGCCACAACCACCAATCAGAGGGGCGTGTCCAAAGCGGCTTGTGTGGTGCATGCGTGTGTTGGCTGTGTTGGTTGTGTTGGTTCTGTTGCTGTGGCAGAGCTAGCAGCAGAGCACAATGAAAGTTGGGGTGGTTTGAATAGAGCGGAGAGATGTGCTCGTGAGCGCTGAAGTCATGCTCAAAACGTAATGCTGTGAATTGGACTTCAGTCTCTTAGTAAAAATTGTGAAGACTATGAATATTATATTAAAAATAAAA